TCCTCTTTACTTACACCGCCCTCATCGCGTACGAGAGCGACTATCAAATCGCCTCTGACAAGGGCCTTATTCCGAAAGAGGTGACCTGGTACGACTGGAAGGCACTGTCGGCCCAGATCGTGCAGAACCATTGTTACGCGTCCGTCAACCCGCGATACTGGTACGGCGAGCTTCGACTTAGCCGGCTCAACAAGATTTATCGGATCCGCCTGGGATACGTACTTCGCGGATTCTCCAAAGTGGCCTCCCATGCAGTCTACGAGGACCTGCTGCAGGACAACTTCGCGACGCTCGCAGCGATCCTTGGTTATGTTGTCATCGTCCTGACGGCTCTGCAAGTCGGGTTGGCCACGGATAAGCTCGTCGGCGACAGCTCGTTCCAGAACGTCAGCTATGGGTTTACAGTCTTCTCTATCTTGGCGCCTCTAATTGCCTGCGTTGCCATTTTCGGTGTCGTAGTGGCCATGTTCGTGAGTAGCTGGATGGTGACCAAGGTGTATGAGAGGAAAAGATTCCAGGAAATGGGCGTAGAGCCGTTTTGGAGAGACCAGAAGAAAACCGGTCAGTACGAGCATGTAGCGGTAAAGCAGGAAGTACCGGAATAGGCCAAGACGTAGTCAATACACATATGGATAGACGTGTGTTGAGATACGTCACTGCGTCTAAGGAGAGTGTGTTTGTTACAGTGAAGAGTCGGGTCGGTGAAGGACTCTAAGTGCATCTAGGTACCTAGGTACCTTAGGGACTGAGTAAAAGAGGTGCCTAACCTACCTAGGTAGGTACCTAGGTGGATACCTGCATTGATGGTATACAAAGTCCAGCAGCATCTGAGCTTTTGAAAAGCGTGGATCCAAGTATGTTAGGCAGCCTACTTGGTGCCTGGAGGCGCTATCATACATAGCGCCCGTGCGTGCCTAGGTAGGTACCAACCCCACGCCAGTGGGCCCTGATCGGCTACCTACCTACCTACAGCACTCAAGTTGGACGTCACCTTTATGTGAGCCTCTTAAAGCTCTCTAACTCATATAACATTGTTCATTCTCAACATCAACGCCAACTCCAACCCACCGGAACATCCCACCGCACGGGGGGCAAAAAAAAATAAAAAAAATCGAAATCAGATATGGCCTCAAAAGGAACCAACTTCACCAGCATCGAGCGCCACTGCCTCGTCACAGTCGGCGCCACAGCCCGCTTCACCCAGCTGCTGACCGAGGTCCTGGGCCCCGCGTTTCTCGACTTCCTCGTCGAGAACCGCTACACTCACCTAAACCTGCAGTGCGGCAAGGACTATGAGCACTTCTCCCGCCAGGTCCTGCCGCCCCTCCTGGGCCGGCACCCGGACCTGGAGATCACCGCCTTCGACTTCGTCGACGACCTGACCGTCGAGATGATAAAATGCCGAACCCAGCCGGGCGTTCGCGAGGCCGGCGTGGTCATCTGCCATGCAGGTAAGAAGAACAGAAACACATCGTGACCGTTGCAGATGTCAAGAGCCCAAAGACTGACACGCATGCCACATCGAAACAGGCACAGGGACCATCCTCGACGGGATGCGCGTCAGCGTTCCCCTCGTCGTTGTCCCCAACCCGACCCTCAAGGACAACCACCAGGTCGAGCTGGCCGAGGAGATCCAGCGCCAGGGTTACGGGATCTGGGGCCGCCTCGGCGACATCTCGTGGGCCCTCGAGCAGCTGGCCCTGCAGCTTGATAAGACCGAGCGGCAGTTCCGGCCTCACTCTGTGGACAGCGAAGTGACCGCCGTCAATGTGGACTTGTGGCAGGTCAGCGGCGCCATGATGGGCCGGTACTATGAGGAGCCTGTTCCTCCTACGAAGACTGCCAAGGTTCACGGCGGCAAAAGTACTGCTACTGGCTTTGGTGAGGTGCAGCGGGAGGAGGTCGCACAGATGACGATGGACTAGGAGCCCCATCGGCGTTGGCCACCTCCTTCGTCTTACTGGTAGTGGGAGGTGACTCTGACGATTCATGATGAAGGTAGACAGCACAGAACGACTGCAGATATGTACGGTTTGGGGCGGAAAGGCTTATTCTAGACGGGCGGGAGATACCCAGTTTTATGCGGCGTTCTTGGTTAAGAAGAGACAACATCATCGCTTTTTGTTTTTCTTCATTCAGTCATCACCTGTCACAAAGTGTGTCTACGAGTCTACTTCCAGCCCGACTACTGCAGCCCAGCCACTGTCCATACCTTGATGGCGGCATCGCCACCAGCGCTCGCAATCTTGCTTCCGCCCTCGATCCACGCAACGCCGTTGACGCCGTCCTTGTGCGCATTGAGAGCCTTGACGCGGCTGCCGGGCTTCGCCAGGCTCCACACGCAGACGTGCGTGTCCAGCGCTCCGGAGACGGCGTGCGTCGCGGCGTCGTTCCAGCTGATGCACGTAACCCTTGCCGTGTGCGCGGACCAGCGGTCCGTCGCGACCTCCCAGTCGGCCGTCTTGTACGCAACGATCTTGCCGATCTGGTTGCCCGCCGCCAGGTACTGGCCGTCCTTGGAGTAGGAGAGGCAGGAGATCTGGGCGGTCGACTTGTCTAGGGACTTGGCCTCGGAAAGCTTGCCTGCGCCGTCCGCGGTGTAGATCTTGACGGAGTTACCGGATCCCACCGCCACGGTCGGGCCGTAAGCGGCGACGGCGCCGGGGGTGAAGCCGAGGCGGTTCTCGGAGACGAGCTTGTTCTTCTCGTAGACGTCGACGCCCTCGATGGTCGCCACATACAGCTTCCCGCCGGTGGCGGCAACGCCTTTGGGCTGCGCAGAGAGCTTGACGGACTCGCCGACAAACGTGTTTGCCGACTCGTCGACTATCCGCAGATGGTCGTCCCAACCCACGCTGTACGTATGTCCCGCCTCGGCGCTGAACTGGGTAACCTGATTGGTGTGCGCCTGCCCGTCGACGACGGAGCCGGTGCCCGAGGCCACGTCCCACTGGCAGACGCGGCCGTCGAAGCTGCCAGTCCACAGTGTCTGGCCCTTGCCGTCGGACGAGGCACCCAAGGCCGTGATGCTCTTGTTGTGGCCCTGCACGATTTTGCTGGGCTTTTCGCTGCCTTCGTTCAGGTAGATCAGGTCGCCGTTGAGGTTCAAGCTGATGATCAGACCGTCGGTCCTGCCGTGGGGGTAGACAGCACCGACCTGCTGATCACCCACGCTGACGCCCTCGCCAAACTCCCACGTCTGCGTGGCCTTGCCCGCCTCGACGTCCCAGAGCTTGACGGTCTGGTCCGCACTAGCAGTGACGAACTTGGTACCGTCCTTGGCCCACGAAACCGCGAAAATGCTGCCAGTGTGTTCTCCCTCCCCGATCGAGATCGTGGGCTCGCCCGTCTTGCCGTCGTAGAGCTGGATGCGCCTATCGGCGCCGACCGTCACGAGCTGGTTGCCGTCGGGGGAGAAGGCCGTACCAAAGACGAAGCCCTTGTGGGTCGAGGCGTGCTTCGAGTTGAACTTGAAGGGTGCGCCGTGCAGGAAGCAGAGGGAGCCGTCGTCGGAGACCGTCGCCGCCCGCAGCGGGCGCTGCTGCCGCACGGCGACCGAGTTGATGACCTTGGAGTGACCGCTGATCTCTCCGACCGAGTTACCGCTGTCGGCCGTGATGCAGTGGCCGAACCGCTCCTTGCCGTCGCCGACGGCGATGATGCGCTGGGAGTCGCCGTCCCATGCAATGTCGTTGATGCGACCCGAAATGATGTGGTACTCGCCTGGTGAGCAGATCAGTATCGAGAGCCGTCTACCGGGTGTCCTGAGCGTGTGCTGTACCCTTGGTGTTCTCGGCCTCGACGGCGTCCCAGACTTTCACGGCGCCCGAGACATCTCCGCTCGCAACGTAGAAGCCGCTGGGCGAGAAGCGGGCAACGCTCGTTTGTGCGGTGTGACCAACGTACTGCTTGCTCACGGAAGGGTTGTCGATGGATCGGAGGAAGATGGATTTGCCGGCCTGAGAGGATGCATTGTTAGCCAGAGCCTTGTTTGGTCGAGAGGCATCGCTAAACTAACGGCATAGGCGAGACGCTCTCCTTTGTTGTCGGAGGAGAGCTGCGTCGGCTGGCCACGCTGGGTAGCGGGCGAAGCAGCTAGGATCTTTTCAATGGTGACAGACATGATGGTTTTCCTAACACGCCTATACCGGATGTAATGCAGATTGAGCCACTCGAATCTCTGCGGGAAGACGAAGGAACAGACAGAAAGTGTTGGAGAGAAACGGGGGTTGAGCAGGGCGTGGGTGAGCTTCAAGCTATGCACCACAATGGCGGTCGACGGTATCGAGTGGGAACCTGGACCTGGAGCTGGGATGACGATCCAGGAATAGAGGATGGAGGGGCAGTGTTAGGTGGTGCTGTTGCGGGGCATGCATGACGTTCCCCCTCTCGCTAGCCGACAAGTTTCGCGCAGTTAGCCTAGAGTCTGTTGAAGAAAGACAGTCTAGTTTGGTGCACCTTGGCTGAAGTATGCCACAAGGCAACAGAAAACCGTACGATTGCTTCAGCTACTTTCCTACAAAGTACCCAAATTTCCCAGCGTAACCATCTACCCCCGGCCTGCCTAGGTAGTCAGTGACAATACGCAACGCGGACTTACACACGCATCATACAAACAAATTCAGACGCCAGCTTGAAACTCAATACTGAAAACAGCTCCAGCTCAAGTGCGTTCCATTTTTAGCACTATATCACGGGTTCAGTTTCATGTTTCCATAGCACATCGTTTTTTCTAAGACACAGATTAGCCACGCAGCGGCTACCTTATTCCTCCTTGCAGCAACCCAGCATTAGCCGCTGTAGTCTCCCTCGCATACAGTTCCCGTTTTCTTATTGCTTTAACCCTGTCTTTGTAAAAGCATAAATGCTCTCTGGTTCTCACTGTCGATTGAGTATGCAAGTCTGGGGGTATGCAGTGGGTCAGAATACTGTGAGTGGCTCGACAGAAACTTTAGGTATATATTTGTTTAGATCTGCCCACAATTTCACAACAAGTCATCGCTTTCCTAGCTCAATTTGGTCAGAGCGTCCGACTTTTAATCGGAAGGCTGTGGGTTCGAGTCCCACGGATCGCGGTACGTTTTTGCAGTTCCGTTATCCTTTCTTTTTTTCCATCTTTCTACAAATCGTGCTCTTTTCAGTCGGATTAATTAATACTCGTCACCAAAAAATTAAACAACATTTTGAATCAGTGGTGGTAGGCACATGGCATCTTTAAAATTCGTTAAATTCTCGTGCAAACGAGCTTAACATACATAGTTCCTAATGACATAGCCCGAATGGCCATCTATCGCGAAAGTCATACAACAGGGCCCCCTAGAGATAGATATAACCGACCGAAAGGTTATGCCAGACCAAACGCCTTTTTCTATTCATAGCCATTGCCAGAAAGTCATACCCACACCAAAGCAAATAAAAACGACACCCTGTTCATTCGTGTAGGTTTGCCAGCCGTCTATTTCTTCTTGCCCTTGGTCTTGCTTTTGGCATTAGTGGCCGACTTGGTTGATGTGACGCTCGACGCTCTAGAAGGAGCCGTGGATGTGTTCTTGCTTCCGACCTCTGACTTGACGTTGTCTAGTGCCTTGTTCTATAGTCATGGTCAGCAACGTCTCTTCGCGGTTCAGGGGCTCGCTCGTCTGTGCTTCTTACCTTGACACCATTCTTGGACTTCTTCTTCGCCGGTGCCATGCCCAGGATGCTGTCCTCGTCGTTCTCCTCGTCCTCGGCTTCTCTCTTGACCTTTCCGTTGACGCCATTTGTACCCTTTGCGGGATGGACATCCTCAAACTCCTTGACAATGGTCGTCAACAACGTAGTGCAGCGACGGCTCAACTCGACGGGCGTCCTGCTGAGGAAGAACCAGTCGAAACGGAACAGAGGGCTCTCTGCGATCTCATCTCTCATTTTCTCGTACAGGCCGGGTGAGTCGATGCCATGCTTGTCGAGAAGAACCAGTAGAAATCGATCCTCTTCCTCTGTGTACACCTTCTTGTTCGTGGTGGAAACGGAATAGTTGATCTTGAGCTGTTGCAAGGGGACGCGGTATTGAGACATCTTCTTGCGGAGCAGCTTCCTCTGGTGTTCAATCTTGCGCATACGCTCCTCGCCATCTTCAATGACCTTGATGTACTTGTTGTAGTCTGCGATCTCCGTATACCGCTGCCAGAAGACCTTGGCGTACTGCTTGACTTCAGCGGCAGTCTTGTTGTCAATGTCCTCTGCGATGCTTTCGTAGTCATTGCGGCCGTAACGTCCGGAAGCGTTGACGAATTGCTGAAAGTCGCGTCTGTTCCATTCGCCAAACCCTTGCTGTGACAGGCGTTGTTTCTCCTCCTGCTCTTCCTCTGTGAGTGGCGTCGCATTATCAATCTCTTGTTGATCCAGCGCACGCTCTGCCTCACGCTCTTCAAGGTTCTCATCATCGCCGTCAGAAAGCGGGACCTTGTAGCCAATTTCCTTGCGGTAGTACGCCGTCTCACGATCCTGGAGGTCGCGCAACCTCGGTGGATAGAACTGGTAGTCGTGAACCGGAACCTGCCTCGGGGCCCTCGGAGCCTTGGGCTTGGTGTCCTTCTCTTTGGGAGGGTACATGGTCTGGCGGAAGTACTTGTCCATGGAGTATGATTGCTCCTTTCGCTCACGCTTGGCGGGGTTGATCCAGTTCATGCCAATGTCCTTCTTGTTGGTCTTGAAATCCTCACCGTTCCAGGTGTAGGCAGACTCGGACGTGAAATTCTGCAGGTCGTCGATTCCAAGCTTCTCGTACCTGGCGTTGAGTTCCTTGGTTCTCGATTCACCAGACGCAAGAATCTTGTCGATATCGTCGTCATCCATGTTAGCACCCTTTTCGGCCAGCACACCGGCTGCGCCCTTGCCCTGGAAGACCTTCTCAGCACCGTGTTGGATCATCGAGAGAAGCTCGTCCTTGTTGGCAGCAGCCTTTGCTGCGACCTGAGCACGACCTTGCTGGATGACAAGCTGGTCGAGACGAAGCTTTTGAGCTGCTCTTTCCAAGACCTTCTCCTCAATCGCATTATCCGTCACGAAACGATAAACAACGACCTGCTTGGTCTGACCGATACGATGGGCACGATCCATGGCCTGCAAATCGGCCTGAGGGTTCCAATCGCTATCGTAAAGAACGACAATATCAGCAGAGGTGAGGTTGATGCCCAGGCCACCGGCTCTCGTCGTGAGCAAGAAGATGAACTTCTCGGAACCTGGCTTGTTGTACTCGTCGATGGCGGCGATACGATCCTCGTGGGCCGTTCCACCATCGATACGGCAATACTTGTACTCCCGAAACACGCAGTAGTCTTCAAGAATGTCCAAGAGACGGCTCATCTGTGAGAAGATGAGGACTCTGCTGCCCTGCTTCTGCATCCTGGCCAGCAACTTGTCGAGAACAACCATCTTGCCAGCATTGTAAACGAGATGCTCGTCTGTGGTGTAGGGCGGGCCAGGCTCGGCGCCTTCGAAGAGGTAAGGATGATTGCAGCATTTACGCAACTGCATCACAATGTTGAGAAGTCTTGTCTTCGACTCTCGTTTGCCGTTGGCGCCGTTGACAGCGTCAATGTCCTTCTCGAGGATTTTCTGATACCACTTGACCTGCATGTCGGACATGCCCAGGTACAGGTTGACCTCCTTCTTGGGCAACAAGCTCTTTTCGACATCGCTCTTGACTCTTCGGAGCAGGAAGGGTCGCAACACTCGGTGAAGCTGCTGGACGACGGTGTCCTGGTCCTGTTCTCGGCCCGAAAACCACTGATCGAAGGCCTCAGAATCGCCGAAAACATCGGGAAGCAAGAAGTTGAGCAGAGCCCACAACTCGTGCAGGTTGTTTTGAAGAGGTGTGCCAGTGATCAGGAGTCGGTTTCGGGAGTTGAAGACGCGGATCACCTGGGCCAATGACGATTCCTCGTTCTTGATGCGGTGGGCTTCGTCGATGATGATGTACTCCCATGCGAACTTCTTGAGGTGGCTCTTCTCGCGCAGAATCATTTCGTAACTCGTGATGCAGACGTCAAAGTTTTCGTTGACCAAACGGTCGTTGATGAGCGCGTTACGTTCCTCTTTGGCACCCTGAAGCACCAATACGTTGACCTCGGGAGTCCATTTTTCGAATTCTCGCTTCCAGTTGTCCAACGTCGACTTCGGCACGATAACGATGTGGGGACCAGTGATACCCATGATGTGTCTCAGATAGCCCAGGAACGAGATTGTTTGCAGGGTCTTTCCAAGACCCATTTCATCGGCGAGGATGCCAGAGATACCATTCTCATGGAGAGAAATCAACCAGTTGAGACCGGCGACTTGATAGTCTCTCATCTGGCCATTGATGAAGGAGGGCGATTCACGGAAGACAGTTTCGGCAGAGCCTCCGTGTTTCTCGTCTTGAAGCAGCTCGGCATCTTCCTCGGCCTCGGTCCGACGCAAGCGCTCGTTGCTAGCGCCACCCTGACGCGAGCCCTTCTTCTTGCTCTTTGATGCCTCTGCGTTCTGTCGGTCGATCTCTGTCATGATTTCCCGGATCTTGGGGTTGGGGTTCGTTTCGATGAAGTGGCGGAAGAGGTCCGTAAGACCCAGAAGGTATCGAAATCGTCGAATACTGTCTTCTTCCTGATTGGGAACATCATTTAGCACCATGCCACTGCCTGGTCCGTTTTCTAACATCAGGGGCTCGCGCCTAGCGTACCTTTGATTCACCCAAACGATCGTGCTTCTTGCCGAAGATGCTACGACGAAGCTGATTGGCCTCGGTCCGCCTTTTGCGACCATCTCCCAGAGGTTCGCCAATAACGCTACTGGCCGTGGTGTTCGCATTGGTATCCGAGTCGGTGTAGTCGGGAGTCTCGTCGACTTCCTATATGCACGTCAACCAAACAGCTTTCAATCCAGTCGCGATTTGTAGCGGCCTGGGGAGCGTAACAGCGCGAGAGGAGTTGAGAAGAACCACGTACCATCGATTCCGCGGGGTGAGCGTCTGCCGCGTCCGACATCGACGCGTCGGTATCGGCCGCAGCAGCTCTCGAGCGAGGCGCCATCCTGACGACTGCAAATCACTTTACGCGACTTACACGCGTTTCTTTCGACTATGTTGCGCGCGCCAGAAACTGTAGATGATTTTCAATTGCCCCAAGCCTTGTGGGAGCGACGTTGATTGAGAAAGCGCTCAAAAAAAGGGGGAGTGCTTTGGTGCTGCGCGAGACTGAGCGGTCGTTGGATGTTTTTTGGATGATGGAGGAAAGGTGGGATCCCTCTACTGTAGAAGAGCAAATTCCGATCAGGACTAGCGTGCTTTCGCCGTGTCTTTCCCCGTGCGCCCGTCAATCTAGTGGAGTATAGCCGCGCCGGGAGGTCGGACGCGGAAGAAGGCAGACTCCGACCAGAACGTCTCCGTTATTACCTCTGCCAGAGAAGCGTGCAGCAGCTCCACCGTCCGTTCCAGGACTGGATCAGCTGGCGCACTGACCATGAGGGGATAACGTCAAAGCCGCCTAAGGTATCTGTAAATTGGGCCTGTGAAGTTACTGCTCGCTCTCGGTTAGTGCCACTTTCCAGTGTCATGTGCTCTACCTTACGCTGAAGGCAAGCTGACCTCCCCTTCATCGACAAACAACTGCATCTTGCATCGCTGCTCATTAGACAACCTCCATCATCGCGTACCTATTTAACCTCTAAATCGCTCCTTTTTTTTATTTGGCGTAAAGAGGAGCCGCCTGTAGTCCTCGTCTGCGTATCTGCACTCGAAACCGCCACCATCACAGCTTATCACCAGTCCCTTGGGGGACCCCGTTTGGAGACCCCACTCCTGCATCAAGATTTGTTTACCCGACAACTCAACGACCTACATTACACCGCTAGAGGTGCGGGACTTGTCTTTCACATTCTTTGATTCCATACTGACTCTTTTCAGTCGCTCATTAACCTGCGAGACAACCACCATGGATTCCATGCGAAGCCTCAACACCTCCCTGCCGGGCGCCTCGGCCGCACGGCAGACGACACAAAATGACTCCCCCGAGCAACTTCTCGACGCCTTCAAGGCTGCGGCACTGTCGGTGACGAA